AGTTTGTCTTCGTGAACCACATCTGTCTAGAATTTAATTTTATACCAACACATTTCGAACACATGAATACCTAATGAGCTAGTCGTTTTATGACACATTAAATTTCTTAAATTTTAATTTTAATTCAACATTGTTTACGAAATATTTCCTTTCGATGTTCGTTTCAAATAAAGACTAAACAATGTAATGCACCGACATGTTTGTTGCCGATACCAATAACAAATTATAAATAAGTTTTAGAATTCTCAAACATCCGAATTCGTGAACTCGCAACGCAGTTCGAAGCATCTAAGTAGTGAGCATGTTTAAGCGTAGTGAATGTACAAAGAACCAAGTCCGTTTGTCTCGGGTTTCATTAATTGCTTTTGTTTGCTTTGAATGGTTTTTGTTGAAGTCGCGTGGGAGGATTTGACATCCTGTGGGAATGGTTACGAGGGAAGACGTGGTTAGGCTACACTTAAAAATTAAATTGATCATATCTTGTATTACCAATAACATGAGATAGAAAAAAAAGATTAAAAATATAATTAAAAAAAGTTAAAACTACAAAAAAAAATTTCCACACTGAGAAACTTTTTCACGATACGCGATCATAATTTTTGTTAGGGCTTAACTTAAGACTTATTAAATACTGTTACAATGAAGTTTTAAACACATCGAATTTTCTCGAATTTTTATAGTCATTAAGCGCCCTTAGGTCAAATCTTTGACTTGATGAACTTATAATTTTATATTCTAACAGGAGGCGGGACCGACTTCCCCTGTATGAGTTTTTACAACATATTATTATAAACAATCACATTTTCGTTCTGTAAGCGCATATAAGTCAAATCCGGTTTGTAATTTATCTACCAATTTATCAAAACTTGCTTCTATTTTGGTTCAACTACTAATTTATAAGAAAACTGAAATAAATAAATAAAAAGCGTTAACGGAGCACTTCTACGATCACTTACTAATATCACGTACTTTATTTTCTTTTATTGCTTAAATGGGTGGACGATCTCACAGCCCACTCGGTCTTAAGTGGTTACCGGAGCCCATAGACGACTACAAAGTAAAAGCACTCACCTAGCTTAAGATATGAGTTCTATGGTCTCAGTATAGTTAGTTACAACGGCTGCCCCACTCCTCAAATCCAAACGCATTTTTGCTTCACGGCAGAAACAGGCTGGGTCCTACCCGTGCGGACCCACAAGAGGTCCCACCACCAATATTTGCTGGGAGTGTCGTATTGTAGGTAAGCCGGCACGTTTTTGCCGTAAACGTGATCTTCCGAACGGTGGAAAATTTATTTTACCTAGTACAATACAGTTGAGATTTCGAAATTATTTCTCAACCCAAGTGGCGGCATTTACTTTGTGATGTCTGTTGGTATCAGTAGCTGATTAACATCAGATCGGCTGCGATCCTCTCTATCCGTGCACGCTTAAGTAAAAAAATCTCGATGATAAAAAAATTTAGAAGAAAAACATCTATATATTAAATACGTGAAGCAAAAACTTTGTATCCCTTTTTACGAAAATTGCGCGGACGGAGGAGTATGAAATTTTCCACACTTATAAAGAATATAGAGAAGAAGTGCACAATGCTAATATTTTTTTTAAATAATGCATAAAAATACATTAAATCAATAAAGAAAACATTACATACCATGTATTTGACGCACACACGCATGCATACTATTTAATACTATTTATTGTCAAACTTTTGTTCTTGACGTATGTTGTCAAATTGAGAATAGATTAAATATTGTTTGTCTTTGTTAATTTTTATAGTATATAGTCTTAGCGAAATTTGTGATTATAGAAGTATAAAATACAATCATAATAGTGTACAAACTTACAATTCCAATTAATTATAGTCGAATTTCGACTACTGCGGGGCCACTAGTTTAGTTAATTACGCAATTACAAATTTATGTTGAGTAAACTTCAAGCACCGGTATACAAATACGGCTTCAATACGGAAAAGAATATAGTATGCAATTTATTGGTAAATTATCGGGGAAAACCGATGCAAGTTTCGCTACTTAAATCGCACCTATTTGGCGGTAAGTGGTTCTTTATTGAACAGTGAAAGGCGTCTATGTACTGGTTACAGTTGTCACACCTTGTAACATTTGTTGACATTTAGACATGGATATAATATAGGTATCACGGAACGCAGATGCTGCGAATTAAATCCTAAATTATTTTTAGCAAGTACTACGTGATGATATATATCGGTTGCTTTCGTTAAATTGGTTATATCTAATTGGTTATCTTTTAATTAATTCAACTTAAAAACTGATGATTTTCGATCATGATTATTGCTTTTTAACCAAAGCGTTGAATATTAAAAATTACGCAAAGCCATAAAATTTTAGCCAACCTGAAAAGGAAAAAAGTTTTATCTCTAGATCACAGAGAATTTAATTTAATTAATTTAATTTAAATCTCTCAAAACATGAATTCTGAATTCAGAACTTTAAGATAATGTTTTTTTCTTATTTATGATGCACCGCATAGGCGCCGATTTACTACAACTAGGATTTCAGAAGTAAAGAGAATAGTAGCAGAAGAAGAGCAGAACATAGACGGGATAATTAATGAGAGACTATCTTTTTTTTTTAGCTTAGTAGGGTGGACAAACTCACAGCCCACCTGGTGTTAAGTGGTTACTGAAGCCCATAGACATCTATAACGTAAATGCGCCACTCACATTGAGATACAGGTTCTAAGGTCTCAGTATAGTTACAACGGCTACCCTACCCTTCAAACCGAAACGCATTACTACTTCACGGCAGAAATAGGCGGAGTGGTTGTACATACCCGTTCAGACTCACAAGAGGTCCTACCAAGTAGCAGTTGATAGTTTACGAATAAACAAATAAAGCGCAAGCGGTTTACATACAATTGTCACTGCAAATAATTATTATTAACGGAATACGTATTATTAGCATACCTCATACTGCGGACAACATCAACCATCAATACATACGAAAGTTGAAAATGCAGTGTTACTAGGGATCTCGAACCTTTCGCCTTAAATGGGCGTATAATTTTGTCCGAGAATGTATGCGAAACCAAAAAAATTTAACACGAAATGTTCATTTAGACATTCGTCGAGATATATTATGTCAACATGCCTACAATGTTCTAACAAGCGAACAAGATGACGCAGAGCAGAGCAAGAACGTAACAACAGTTTCGATGGGCTAGGATAAGCTCAATAATATATAGGGGCCATGTCTATGCCCATTTACTATGCATTTACTGCGTTAATGACGTTAAATGTGCCTATTTTTTAACTTAATAAGCAATATTTGTTGTTTTTTTGTGTTTCTATGACAACAATAAACAAACGTACGTGTTTGTGTCCGTGTATGCTAATGTGTCCAGTTCACAAAATACACCTAATTATTGCTTTCAAATAATTTCTAGATACAATATTGTTTTACAATACTGATTATTTATAAACAACTGCGTCTCAAATATATCGAAAATCCTATGAAATTCGTGAAAGTGATTGCTACTTAAATACATACCTACGAATCTCGTAGGTCAAATTATAATTTGCGTAATTAGTGGTAGACGGGCGTCTTGTGAATTCACACGGGTAGGTAAGGTACCACACAGCTTTTTTTTCCTTTTATTCCTCACCTGATGGTCTTGAAAGACCATATCAGCGTCATATCAGCGTCAGTAAGCGAGCTCACGGGACTCAAATCTGACGTTGTTGTTAACACGAACCCTAGCAAAAGCAGTGCTTCGTAAAATCTACCACCGGATCGGAAACGCGACCCACTAAGAAGATCTGACGAGAAACTCAGTGGGCTATACACAGTCGATATCTGCCATGAAACAGTAATGCGTTTAAGTTTGAAGACCGGGACAGTTGTACTGTGAATACTGAGATCTTAGAACTCATGTCTCAAAGTGGATGGGGGCATTTATGTAACCACTGAACACCAGGTGAGCCGAAAGCTTGTCCGCCCAAGTAAGCTAAAAAAAAAAGAAAGAAAAAGGTCACTGAACTGCATGTTTTGCTCGAAATCTCATCCAATTATTAGAGGCCTAACTATATATTTTATGTGCAAATATGTCTGACTCGAAAACTCGTGCCAAAAACACTGCCAATGTACTGACAGTAACCTTCCTTGGTGTAATGATTAAGACGTGTGTGGGTGGGTGGCACTCAAATTGTAATAAGCGTTATATCGTGAGCGCCGGATGTGTCTGTATCTCTCTAATTCATAATTAAGCAACTCGAAAATACACAACACTAAATGAAATGTAAATTCAATACCTTATCTATTTGAAATACGTATTACATTAGTTAAGTATGCATATTAATATTCTAATGCGTATTTGCAAGAAAACGTTGCGTTACGTATTGTAACTTTAAACCAACGCCCTGCTTGAATGTCCACTTTCGATATCCATTTCAAGAGTGCAATATTTTTTTTATGTTTCAGCAAAAATCTTTTTTTATTTATTTATTTTAAAAACTTTTTACTGGTGGTAGGACCGACCTCTTGTGAGTCCGCACGGGTAGGTACCACCACACCGCCTATTTCTGCCATGAAGCAGTAATGCGTTTCGGTTTGAAGGGCGGGGCAGTCGTTGTAATTATACTGAGACCTTAGAACTTATATCTCAAGGTGGGTGGCGTATTTACGTTGTAGATGTCTATGGTCTCCAATAACCATTTAATATCAGGTGGGCTGTGAGCTCGTCTACACGTCTAAGCATTAAAAAAAAGTCGCATTCGTCTATGTATTATTAAATTTTTATAATTTACTATTTTCTTACATTCCTTAAAGCGTGAATAGCTTGTCAGCTTAAGAGCTTTATATTGCCCGTAAGCGCAATGGAAAGCAAAGACAGTCCCCGTGTCACGTATTTAGAGTTCGTGTGCATTCCATTGCGCGCAATGAAAAACATTTTTAAAATAAAATAATATGATAGATGTCAATAAAATCACATTTTAAATTAATTCTTTAATACATATAAAATCTTCGTATACATGTCCATTTTATTCAGAATAAATAGAAGAAATCGTATAATAGATTAAAAATGTAACAAATTGTACAACGTTAACATTTCTTTTTAATAGACGGATCAGTCTCATTTTTGTGTTTATACTTAAACGTATTCTTGGTCCTAACAACTTTGGACTACTCAACGACACTTTTGAAAACAATGGAGGTATTTATTTCTTTCAAGAGTATGAAAATAAGTATCAATTTAACTGTATATTTAATTTTGAAACACGCAACTCGGCTTTTATAGTGACAAGTGTTGTAAATATACTAGCAATCCAAGCACGTACGTACATAGCTTTTACGTAATTTACAAATCCGACTATAGGTTTAAAACATCCTATTATCTCATCAATGTTGCCTGTTTTTCTTTGCTTTATTTCTATTTTTAATTGGATTAATTTTTTTTTCCTATTTTGAATCTGTATTTTTCATTATTTTACACTTCTGGAGTTGCTTCCAAATTGAAACAATTAAACATCGGCCGTGACCGCCTTTATAATTTGTTAAATAGGTGGGTATTTTATATAAACGTAATAACGATTAAGCTCGCACTAAAACACCAAAACTCATCCATACTTTTCTATTCAGCGAAGCATTTTGGGATTTATTATTTAAAAAATATTACGGAATAAGATAACTTTAAACATGACAGTTCAAAGGACCATCAAATATATACAAATCAATGAAAAACATGAGTATGTCTACATATAAATTGTAGTATTCTTTAGAAAATAAAACTTCGAAAGCAAGTTAGCAAAAAAAATATTCTTACATATTACATACAAATGAATATCTTAAATCTTCATATTTAAATCGGGAAAATTATGATTACACAACAGAACTCGGAGCTAAAACTTAAATCTAAATAACAACGGATACAGTACGCAATACTATTATACAATTTATTTACACAAAAATCAAAATCTTTATTGTAAACATTTCGATGCCTCCTCAATGCGTTCGGGCCTTTACGCAAGCCATAATTGATAATCTTTTGAGCCTTCAGTCGACAAATCTCTTCGATTTAACATCATCAGAGATAACAAAAGGGTTTCTGTTTCTGTACAGAAATAAAAACAAAGCTCCCGTCACGGAGCGAACAAGATCCTATAAAGGTCGACCCGACGCATCATATGCTCAGAGACGGCCGTTTCTTCCTCACGCTTTTGTTGCTCAGGCCGAGGATCGTGCCGATCACCTGCGTAGATACGTCTTATCAGACCCGATTCGATTGTCCGTATTATTCTATTAGTTTTTAAATCAATAACAATCAAAGATTTAATCGATATCTTCGGTGTTTCCCGAGCGCTATGACATGTCCTTCTTCAAACGAGGCTTGTGGAGAGTATAAAAGGCAGCGGCTTGGCTCTGCCCCTGGCATTGCTGAAGTTCATGGGCGACGGTTACCACTCACCATCAGGTGGGCCGTATGCTCGTCTGCCTACAAGCGCAATAAAAAAAAGTAATATGAATTTCATAATTTTTATAGTACTAATGCATCAGATTTTTTTTTATTTTACAATTTATTGGTAGAGTTCGATTAAAATCATTTTTACGGTACTTTAACGACGGAATGATAGCTAGCTTCCGTCGGGGCATAGCAGCAACAGAATGCACGCGCGTGCCCTTACAGGGTTTCGCCGTGGACTCTTTGTTCATGAAGCCTACCTTGGAGACGGAATAGGCCGCGAGCTTGCGTCTGGGCGCGGGCAGTAACAGAGCGAGGGCGCGCGCCTCCCTGAGCAGCGCGTGGAAAGCGAGCGCCGCGCCCGCACACGATTCCGCCGCGGACACCTCGTAGAACTGACAACCGAACCGCAACGACAACTCCTGACCCTCCTCTGCTTTAATAACCCTGCACACAAAACCAAGCATTTTTAAATCTTCTTTTTCTCCACCTTATCCCACTAAGTGGGAACAGCACAGCTAATTTTCTCTTCCATTCTCTTCTATCAGCCGTCATCTCAACACTCACTCCTCTTTCTTTCATATCGTCATTCACACTCTCCATCCTCTTCTTCGGTCGACCACTTCCCCCTCTACCTACATACTTTGTAAATGGAGTTAGGCATTCGAAAGAGTTATGTTCGTAGCCTAGCGGCGCCTTAATTAGATCGCAACCAAGATTTAGCAGGCCCGCAGGTACGGCTGCCTATATAAGTCTAGACTCTTCAAGCAAATAGTTTTTTTTTTTATTGCCCTTGTAGGCAGACGAGCATACGGCCCACCTCATGGTGAGTGGTTACCGTCGCCCATGGACTTCAGCAATGCCAGGGGCAGAGCAAGCCACTGCCTACCTATAGTAAGTCAAAAGAACTTATTTCATTGTTGAAATGGCAATTTTAGTGACATAGATGATAGCAACGTTCAAACCACATATTCGTCTACCGTCGTATATTTAAAAATAAAACCTAAACACTAATTAATTCTAAAACAATACCTAGCATGTTCCAGATCCCTTTTATTTCCGAGTAATGTGACAGCGGTGCAGCCAGGAAGCCTCGTTCTCTCCAACAAAGCTAGCAGCTCTGCAGCAGCCAAGAATGACCTTCGATCGCACACCGAATATACGACAGCGAAAGCGTCGCCCCACCTCAGATGCTCCGCCAAACAGCCACGTTTCTGAACATAAAACAAATAGAGCGTAATAAAAAAGCGGTTACTACACTCCTGTCTTAATCCTAAGAAGACTAATAATAATTGTACTTACTGCGCAACCGCAAGTATCCAAGACTTCAACCTCAGAGGTAGCACCGTCGAAGGCGATCCGATGTTGATACAGAAAATCTGTTAAAAAAATCTCATCAAATACTTAACACGGGTAGGGCGACTTACTGATGATAAAGCGTCTTTTGAGCCTGCACGGGTAGGTACCACTGCCCTGCCTATTTCTGTCGTGAAGCAGTAACACGTTTCGGTTTGAACGGCGGGGCATCAAACTGAGGCATAAAACTGAGATCTAGAACTAATGTCTAAGGGTTATTAGGCCATTTACGTTTTTAACATCTATGAACTTCGTAACCAATTAACACAAATTTGGCCGGGAGTTCGTTTAAGCAATAATAACGTATAAAAAAATCGGTAGTATGCAAAACATGATATTAATATTTATTAATTACAACAAAAACAAAACACAATACAATAATAAACAAAACAATAATATTTAAAAAAAAATTCGAAAAACTTTTATTTTAAAAAAAATCGCCCATTTAAATATTCTAATCTCTGCTGCTATTAACTTACAAGCATTATCATTTTAGAATTAACGATAAAACCGATAAAGAATGTGGGTCATTTCAGCGAATTTAGTTAGGGACAAAGGTCAACGGCCCGTAGTTTGAGGCGCCGATACTACAAGCCTTGGCACTCCGGGCACGACGCTTGCCAATATCCCAAATAAACCGCCCATTGGCACTCAAAGTTTGGCATCTGATAGTGCCCTCTGTATGGGTTTAGCTTCAACGATATCGTATATTTAAATTACACTGACATTCTACAAATTACACACATTACGGTAGCAATATTTTATAACTATAAATTTGCTGATACAGGGTGGCCCATAAGTCCTTTGATATGAAAAAAAATTATTAAAATAAAACTAATTACATTATGAATTAAATTTTTATTTACATAAAAAGCTTAAAAAACGGGAATTATTTTTTGAAAATAACATCTCCTAAATGTAATCCGTTGCGATCACGGCACTCTTGCAAACGACGTCTAAAATTGTCGATGACTGCGCGGCACGTCACTGCTGAAATGCTTGTCATTTCTCTGCGGATGTTTTCTTTTAGGGCCTCAATTGACCGCGGGTTTGTGTCGTATACTTTAGCCTTAAGGTAGCCCCACAAAAAAAAATCCATCGGGGTCAGATCTGGACTACGTGGAGGCCAGGAAATGTCTCCTCTCTTAGAGATAACTTTGCCAGGAAAAAGTTGACGGATAACGGGCATAGCAGTGTTAGAGGTGTGAGAAGTGGCCCCATCCTGTTGAAACCACGTCCTGGCATTAAAGCCTGAAAAGTTTTGCAATTCTGGTATGAAAAACTCTTCGATCATAGCCACATATCGCTCCGACGTAACAGTAACTGCGCGCCCTCTGCCATCCTCAAAGAAGTAAGGCCCTAGGATACCATGGGCTGACATAGCGGCCCAAACAGTCACTTTCGGACTATGTAAGGGCTTCTGATGCTTAAGTTTTGGATTGATGGGGCTCCAATAGCGGCAATTTTGTTTACTAACATGCCCGTTAAGATGGAAATGAGCCTCGTCAGAGAACATTATGTTATTGAAGGAAGTAAACCGATTCAACATTTCATTCGCATAATTTTGTCTTTGAATACCGTCAGTTTCCTTTAATTCTTGAACCAACTGAATTTTGTAAGGGTGCATATGTAAATCTTTCTTCAAAATCCGTTGTAACGATGTCCTGGATACGTTTAATGCTCTGGCGCGCTTACGAGTTGACTGTGTCGGATTTTCGCGAATAGACTGTGTCACTGTGTCTATGTTTTGTTCCGTACGTGACGTCCTTGGGCGACCCAACCGCGGTTTATCTAACGTCGAACCGGTCTCCTCGAACTTAGCAACCCAGTTCTTAATCGTTTGAAGAGTTGGAGTGTCGTCAAAGTTGTGTAAACCTTTGTGTTCTCGAAATTTACGCCGCGCAACGGTTGCCGAATTGTCGTTTTTATAAAACTCGCGCACACAAAACGCACGGTCCGCTCCGGTAAAACGCTCCATCGCGACTAAATTCCCAGAAACCGAAGTTACTCCCCACGCTTCCCCTGCACCGCTCACGCGCGCCCTGTTCGTTTTATTCAAATTTTACTTTTCAAAGGACTTATGGGCCACCCTGTACATTACTTTTTCATTTAAGGGTTACTGTAACTACTCTTAGTGTACTGTACTTACACACTAATTTCTATTATTATTTTAATATTCATAATAAAAATTAACCTACTTTTATTATTTGAAATCGTTATATTACATTAACATATTAATTTCAACATTTGGAAACTTTAGTTTCATCAAGATATGAAAATTTGCATCTATTAATACAAATTCTAAATACGATGCACGTGTTCAAATAATGACCGTAGGATACCTAAATTATTTGCGAAACAAATAAATAAAACGCCGTTAAATAGAATTCAAAACGTGATAAAAACAAAACCGTAAACAATAAAACGAATATAGATAAAACAAAAGGAAAGTTTGTTCATATCGCACGACAAGGCACAACAAGGCGCGTTAACGTTAAAAAGATAAGAACAAAGGCGACAGACAACATTGATAAACGCAGTGTCAATAATTTATACAAACTGAAAAACACTTACCGCCTGTCGAACTGTACTCCCCGATGTACCGTTTTGTTAAATAACGAACCACAACAGCTGAAACAATAAAAATAAACAATATTAACCGACCGAATCCAACATCACAGCTTTAAGATAGAAAGTGTATAAATGAACTTTACATTTTATCTTATACGATAAAACATGCCGTATCAATTGGATATACAGAGAAAGCCGCAATTAGCAAGCAATCAGTAGAAGTGTTACAAAAGTTGTATCCCTCAATGAATTTACAACTACAAGGTTCAATTATAGGGAAAGCAACACAAAGGGCTGAAGTTACAATATTCGTAGTTACAAGACTCCAATTATAAACTAAACTAAATGTGTATAATAAAATTTATGGTTAATTGAAATTTTGGGAAACGTTTGATGTGGACCGAATTAATTTTGGGAGTCGTTCTGGTGTAATTAAAATGGGATAAGTTGCACTATTATCATTAATTCAATTCGTCAACAGTACAAATGTAAATTATAGTAATAGAAAGACAGAACAAAAACATTGACTTCGATTTTCGTAACCGGCTTAAATAGTGCGGTTCTAAGTTTTGTGTCAAGTGGTATCAACAACTGACGCAATGAAATTCGATAAGGGCGTAAGACTAGAACCGCCTCAATAGGTTAAGGCACGTTACTATTAATAGGACCATTCAATTAACAAGTTACGAAACACGTTTCTAAAATTTAAATGACTTACAGAAGCGCACGGCCACGGCAATCAAATTTTATTCTAATTTATTTAAACCCATAAACTCTTTTGGAACACGCTTATATAACTTTCTACTTTTATAATAAAGCAAACTCACATAAATATACAGCGGAAAGTATTACTCGCATAAGCGATCGTGGAGTTGTGAAAAATTTCTAAAGTTGACTCCCATAAAATATAGTGTGAAAAAAAGAAACAACAGCGATGAAAGATTTAATCATCAGCAACTTCATAGAGTATTAAAAATATAATGAAGCGTTTTTAGACAAGCCGAATGAATTGGCTGGCTAGTTTCATATTAATTTAATTGCGACTGAGGTCAGAGGTATCTTGAATGATGCGCTCTTCTTAACCATTGCTCGGCTTCCCGCCTCAAGACAATCGATGTGTGTTAATTGAAATTTCACGGTTATCTATCGAGGCTGTCGGACTTTCCTTTTGTGTATACATAGCCTGGTTACCGACCGCATGTTGATCCTTACAAAAGAATAAATATGAATTTGCATACAAGATTCATTGATTCATTACACGCCCAGATATTGTTTGAATTAATTTATTTTCGTGTCCGAATTCTTTAGGCGATTTCGCACGACACATATCATTCAGTTTCATTATTTTACACAGTTAAAAAATAATTTACGTTGGGATGGATATCAGCTTTTCTTTCAGAAGTACCTAACCGCTGACAACTAAACTACATATTTCAAAGTGAAATGAACTAGAGCGCGGTTGTCAAAAATTGCTCTTGAAATTGTTGTTGGGGGACGAATAGTGCTAGCCACTGAAAAGCCATAGGACAATTACCCAATTTATTAAATGACTGCAGACGACACGACGCCAAGCCTAATGAAGAATAATTGAAATATTATTAAGAAAATGGCGTTTGGTCTTAAACTTCCACTTAGCAAATACAGATTTATGTCATGCACCAAATTATCCGTAGCCTATATCCCGCTTCAAATATTATACTATTTGTCATTCTGGTGAATGAGCCAAAGGAACTCGACAAACCTATGAATCACGCTTGAGTGGTTTAAGATCTCGATCTAAAATTATTATCAGGCATAATAGGACAAACATGCAGTTTGAATGAAACGCACTAATTAAATTACTTTCACTAGTACTCCGATAGTAGCAGTTCAAGGTAATTCACAAGAACTGTTACTCTGTCAAGACGAGATAATGCGTTCGACCAATAAATCTGGGTTAAGCGATGAAGTGACGAAAGGGAGCAAAGAATGAGTTCCACTAACGAAATCATATGTTGCACACATCAACGGATCCCCATTTAGCTGGATTGAAACGGAGATAATAAATTTCAAAGTAAAGCTATTGTCTATTTTAATTTAATTAAATCATTTGCCATTAAAAATAGGACGTGCTTCATATAAGTTAACAGAAAAGATATATTTTACATCCACGCCCTTTTAGTGTTTCTTTTCCATACAAATTTGTCTGTCAAAATCATAGGTAGTATTTTAACCAATTATTGCTATTGTACAATTGCACTGTTACTTAGATTTTTTTTCTTTTTGAATTATTTTAATATTGTGATTTACCATTAAATCGTTGGGTGTTCTGTTTCTTATCAGAATTGTATTTGACAAGCTTAAATTCTTAAATACATTCTGAAGAGTGTCGCGATTTTTAAATAAATGAAATGTCTTGACCTCACAGCATGAAAGTATCATTCGTTTCGACCATAGACTCGTTCGAGACAAAAATTGTACTCGCATTTCTTGAATAAACTGGAATTGTACCGGTAACGAGTACCATAACGGTACGTAAGGAAATTTAACCGATGTCGCCAGTTGAGAATACGGTAGCAAAAGCTAAATGTTAATTAAGAGCATCGACTGAGGTGATCACAGACACGACTACACGCCAAGCTGGATGTACGCCACTCGCGGTTATTGGAATATCTTTCATTGAATCTCTTCAATTCGAATCAGTTGCATTTTAAAGTTTTTCTCGTAATTTTCAAGTATTTTAAAATTTAATTTCATTCACACTCCAATAAACTATATCAATAGCGCTACAAAAATTGTAACCCAAATTTTTTTATAATCGTAATTAACAGTGTTTAATGAACCTATAACAGATTTCATGAAGTAATTGAATTCACTTATAGAATAAATTATTATTAAGCTCCGTAGAGCAAATAAATTAGAGTAAGAATAATGGGAGTATTCAATCGCTTTCTCTTAATTATTGATCCCAATGTAGCATACTCATTAGAATTTCCCCCGGCTATTGAAACACCACAATGTTCTTTATATGACCTGAATATCCGTGAAATCTTTGACCTGGTCGTTATTTTAATTACACGCTTAGACACGAAGGCTTCATGTTCGGAGTGCCACTTTTCCTATTGTACAGATAAACGTAAATCAGTTATACTAACAATGAAGACGGCCAGGTCACAGTTAATGACTTATTAAACGATGATCAGGCTGTCTGCATTAAACTATATCTCACTTCTGTTCTCAGATATGAAAAATCCGTTACTGACTTTAAACCGATTCGATCATCACTTATTAAAATGACTAGCGGCCCGCTCCGGCTCCGCTCGGGTCAACAAAAATTTCAATTACATTTGACGTTGTTTCATTTTTTAAATAAAAGAACACTTATTGCGGCATAACTTTATTAGACATTTGTTGTCGCGACACTTTTTGTAAATAATAATGTGTTCTACAAAGTCGTACTACATTGTTTTATTCTATCATCAATAGTTTTCGCAGAGCACGCGATGTGAAGACTATTTCAGGTATTTTTTTTACAATTTGGGTTACATTATTGGAGTTTTAGCAAGGATCCCTATTTTTTTTTCAAAAAAGATTATATATAGCCTATGTCACTCGGGAATAGTGTAGCTTCCAAACAATGAAATATTTTTTCAAATCGGTTCAGTACTGTCGGAGCCTATTCAATACAAACAAACAAACAAATCTTTCCTCTTTATAATATTATTATATTATATTATATAGTAAAGATGATCAGGCCGTCCGCGTTAAAATATATATCTCGCTCCTGTTCTCAGATATGAAATATCCATTACTGACTTTAAACCGATTCGATCATCATCCACTGTTTACATTCCTTCGTAATGGCCGTGGAAGATAAAAATAATCGTCTATTTTTTCACAGATTTTATTTAGAGGACTGAGTATTATCGTACCGAATATTTAGATAGTCGCGAGTAACGAGTGAGTAAGCGTGTAGAAGCGGGTGTCCCGGCAGACGTCTTACCGGGTGAGTCACACCGCCGTGGCATGCGGTTGAACAGCGCACGCGCTAACTATAAATAAATGTAATACTCCCGCGGTTGACATTTACTGGCTCTCGATCTATTATCACAAAGCAATGAGCTCTATCTCGACCACGCCCTATATGCATCTGCCGTCTCATATCATATTCAGACAATTTGTCGCACGATTCGTTACATATTCGTTCTTGGAATTCAACCTACTTAGTGTACTCCTCTTCTGTTTTGCGAGTCATAGATACAAAAAAAAAACCGGTTTGATCTCGCATTTGTTAATTTCGTTACATTATTTCCGACGTTTCGCATGCTTTACAGTATCTTACTTTAATTCACCGTTCCCTTGGTCATGGACTGTATAGTTCCAACCTGCTTAACGAAATTATTCTGTAAATTTTAAATCTAATATCATTCCCAATTTCCTTTTAATTGCCTTTTTAGGCAGACGAACACTAGCCCACCAGATGGTGAATGGTTACCAACGTTGATGGAAGTTAGCAATGCCAGACGCACAGTCAAGTCGCTGCCTACCACTGAGTACTCACCACAAACCTGGTTTGAAGAAGGAAGGACATGTCATAGCGCTCTAGGAGAACTGGGGAGTACATTCCAGAGCCGAATGGTATGTGGCAGAAAAGATCTCTAGAAATGCACTGTTAATGAACGCAGCGGTTTTATATAATATGGATAAACTGTGCTCCGATGGCGGGAGGTGTGATAATAAAAAAATAAAATTTTCTCTCAAAGAGCATATTACGCAATATTGACACTCCCAATTTTTTTATATGGGCAAATTAAGTTGTATTCATTGATTAGTACAACTATGATGACGACATGATAAAGTAAATACTGCCACCCAATTCGAGACATTAGATCGAAGTCTCAATTGTATTGTATAAGGATTGTGCCAGCCTTCAATCAGGAAATATGACTGCTACACCACAGCAAAAAAAGACGAGACCGCGCGGACAATGATTCCGGAAGTATTGGATCAAAATCATCCCTTCGAAAAGCACAGCTTCGAAAAAGCGACCTCGTTTCCAATCTCATCACGCATTGGACATA